ATATACACACACACAATGTATTGTTGCGTTGTTTTGGAGTGAATGAATGTCTCAATCTAGTGAGCTCCCTAGCTAGACTGCATAAATGGGCATCATAAAGCGTGCAGCATTTTTGCTGTCTAGGTAGGTAGGCAGGTTTTGAGTACCAGCTATAAGTCTGGTAAAGTGGCTTGCATTTTATCAAAATGTGAATTAACATGTTCATCTTAATCTCATGGTTGTACTGGTCTGTCTGGTTTGGACTGGTGTTTTTTCCTTTTATGGAATGTGTGCACCTAATAACGGAAGTCACATGTTCTATTTCTAAGGGCTGGGGAAAAAATAAATGAATTAAAAAAAAATAATATTGTATGCTAAATAAATAAAGGGCACTGTAGTGTTTAACTAAGCCAATACACACACATACACACATATATATATATTTTATTATCATTAGTAATATGCATTGCTAAGGACTTAATTTGGACAACTTTAAAGGCGATTTTCTCAATATTTTTTATTTTATATTTCTCAATATTTTTTTGCACCCTCAGATTCCAGATTTTCAAATAGTTGTATATCGGCCAAATATTGTCCTATCTTACGCTTTCCATTGGTGTATGTATGGTTAACTTATTCATTCAGCTCTCAGATGTTGTATAAATCTCAATTTAAAAAAATTGACACTTATGACTGGTTTTGTGGTCCAGGGTCACACACACACATACATTTATATATACATATATCAGATGTATAGATAAACCTTTTTAACCTATTTTACATTGTACTTGTGTAAAACAGTATGACTAATGTAAATAAGTGGTAGTGTTGGTTAGCCTAACCCCCTGGATCAAATTGCCATGCCCATGTAACTAGTTCTGGAGTGGCTCTGTAGAGAGTGTTTTTGTTGCAAAGTAACGTGTATTTTCTGTTTTTCTTTTCTTCACACCCACAGGTGTAACACGAAAGGATTTTTCAGCAAGTCTTCTGACTTTGGATTTACAACCACAAGGGATTTTTTTCTTTCTGACAAAAGGGAAAAGGAATGAATAGCCAGTCTGATCTTTGAGGAGTTACATCAGTCCCATATCCTGTTTGGCATAATGTACTAATGGCTGGCTTTTGTTTGTGGATGCGTATTGTTCGCTCTTAAAAGAAAAGGAATGTATTCATGGATCACACCTTAATGAAACAACTTATTTCACCATGGTGAAACTGGCCAATCCCCTGTACACAGAGTGGATTCTTGAGGCTATTCAGAAGATCAAAAGGCAGAAGCAGCGGCCTTCCGAGGAGCGGATTTGCCATGCGGTCTCAACCTCACATGGACTAGACAAGGGCGTCATACTCCAGCAGCTGGAGCTCTCTGTGAAGGATGGGTCCATCCTTAAGGTTACCAGCAAAGGATGCGCTTCATACAAAGACCCGGACACCCCGGGAAGGATTGGGCCTTTCAAGCTGGGAGGCTCTGGCCTGGTCTCACTTGGATCTGTGATACCTGCAGGAGATCTGCGTCATGTGGATTGGAATAAAATCCTTAGGAGGGCTATCGAAGGTCTGGGCGTCCCAGCTGGCTCCTCTCTAAGGAACATCGAGAGATTCCTTAGAAGCCAGGGCGACCTGGTGAATGTTGTGGTGAACCCCAGGTTTCAGCAGAGGCTGAGGCTAGCTGCTAAACGAGCGGTTAACAATGGGCGGCTGCTCAAGGATGGGCCACTCTACAGGATGAACAGTGGTGGGCTGGGAGGCAAAGCTTGCTTCAGGAGCGTGGGGGTCTTTGGTGTCGACCTCCCACCTGTGACACTACTCCCTCATGAGAGAGACCAGGTACTTTTTGTATCCAATCAGGCTCTGTGTGCTTGTCTGAAAAGCTGTGAATGTAATCACTTGTTTTATTGTTTCTGCAAATGCAAAGTCGCACAAATTATTTAAAGCTATCTTACAAGGTTTTAACCATAAAAAGCCTTGGGAACTTATGGTCGTTTAGGAACCTCTTTATTCACTACCAAGCAGATTTGTGACTTTTTCCAAACAGTTTAGCTTGTTAGCGTCGACTGTTGTTTTAAGACCTCAGCAGAGTTTCAAAATCTGGTCAACACAACAAGTGTCAGGAACAGAAATACTCCCTCTCCAGAAATACTCATATGTTGACATGCCTACCAGAGCCACCAGTGTCATTTAGAGGTTGTAACATCTAGGAAGTCAGTAGTTTAGGTCCAGTGTTTGTAGCTTTTCAGTGCTTAACTATACAAAAGTGGCTTTGTTGTCCTAAATTGTTGAAATATCTTGAAACCATAGCCTAACTCATTGTTTTGGTAAAGGGTTTTTTCACTATTCGCCCCAAACCGCTTTGTCATCCACATGAGTGAACTTGGGATTGATTTTAACATTGTGTGATTTTAAATGTTTTGTGAAAAATGAGTAGACCATGTTTTTATTCCTAAATCATCTTTGTTTTTCTCAAAGATAGTTTTCTAAATGAGGGCATGATACGCTACAGATGTTGGAGTAGCTGTGCGTTATTGAACTGACCATTTTTTTTTCCCCCCCTTTTTTTTTGTGAGTTACTGTGTTACTGAGTTTGTGTGTTGTCCTGAAGCTTCATCATCCAGACCTTGCTGGTACGATTTCCATATTTAAAAATCTTAAGTCAACACGAAACAACATTTGCAACCCATTCTACATCTGCAGTGTAAAACATTTTAAGTGTATTTAATCAGTGAAAATGGCGGCTGTGAACTAAATGTATCATTTAGAAAATGTTTGGATTGTGAAATGTGCCTATTCATAGTTTTCATGTGATGTGACGTCACACCCTCACAGGAACGCCCACATGGAGGGCAAAACAAGGCTTTCCTCCACTGACCGCCAGTTATTTTTACGAGGCTTGCATTAAGTAGTAATGTAAGACAGTGATATCTAAAGGCCAAATTCAGTATATATTCAGTATATAAGGTTATTTGATGATGCAGACTTTGTACAGGCAAGCAGATGAACCCAGAATATTAATGCAATTCTCGAAGTTTAATATGAAATGTTTTCCCATAGAAAACCATTATAAAGAAAATACTTAACCATTTAGCACATTGCATTCATGTTCCGGGCTCATTTGCTTGCCTGTATAAAGCATGCATCATCAATAAGGTGTGTACTGAATTTGATCTTTTAATATCACTGTTTTAAAGGCACTTTAAGTGATTTCACATTAAATGATTTAGCTAGAATGTACCGCTGATTTTAGTGATTGAAATATTGCGGCGGGTGCTTTATATGGATTGCTAATGGCCAAAACTTGCATTTTGTTCACTTATCTTTTATTCTTTTGAGGGGTGAAAATTACCAAGATAGAAAATTGACGGGCTTGTGCTGCAGTTCTATGGCTGTTTTGCCCACCAGGTCTTCGAGCCGGTCACGTGACTGAAAACTATGAATTACGTGCCCGAATGAAGCTGGTTGGAGGAGATGGGTTGATTCGAAGTAAGAGAGTTTTGTGACGTCAGCTGAAAAGTTTCAGAGGCTGAGCAAGTGATGAAACATTACTAAGATAAACATTTTTTTTATCTTGACTTGGAATAATGTGCAGTGATTAATCATTTAACAAGACTATGATTGTGTAGTAAATGGGGTTTATTTTTGATTTTATGGTGACTTAACTTGCAAGCTTAATGATGGAGAGCCCTACATCAAAATTTTGAGCTCTGTTGTGAACGCCACTATTTGAAGATTATGTGAAATGTTGACAGCCCATTATAACCTAATTATTATTATAGGGATTATTACAGAATCCTACAGATTTCCCTCCTATGGTGTCCTGGGTTTTTGGTTTGCTTTCAACTGGGGCTCAACCTTGTATGGCCTTTTCCCTCTAAACATTTGTTTAAAAAGCTGCAATCTTTTAAAATTATTCCTACACCAGTCGTGGATTGACTTTTCCAGAATTCATGTATAGCATTTGTTCAGTTTGGGCTACATATAGCTCTCTATCATCTCACATAGTTTAGACACAAAGCAGCTATAGTTTGTAGACCAATGAAAATGTAAAATGTTTCATTGTCTATCACTTGCTGGTCACTTAAGGTCCATGCTTGGTGGCTCTTAATGCTCTCTTTTCCTGCAGTGGTCAGCGAACAATCGGAGGCCATTTGGTAATCAAATCTTGGAGCACATTCCCTTGTCCACTCTTTGAGTTGCTCTTTGAAGGCTAAAGCTTTTGGTTTCCATGCATGGGGGCTTGACTGTTGCTAAGCAATGTGCTTCATTGACCCTAGGACATGATAGCATGGTGCCAGTCTTTTTTCACAATCACAGAGACGGTCTGCCGTCTTGCAGATGGTTCAGGGGGACTGCAGTGGTGGGCTGGCTGCTGATTAGCTCAATGCGTTAAAAGGGCTCTTTTGTTGTTAATTGTGTGCTTGGGGACTGGTCAGTCTGCAGCTGCTCCAGGCCTCTTTATCATATTCTGCAAGGGGTTAAATTATGAAAAAAGAGAGGGCCAAATCCGGCTTTCTTTTGTCCCATTAGCTGGCAGGATTAGATTTTGCATTGAAGGTGTATTAGATCTCATGGCTGGCCTCTTTTTGACGTTCTTGTAACTCTTGCTTAGTTTAAAAGATAGTAATTCAATGAAGGTCTGTTAAAGCTTTGCTGATTACATCTGTTCTTCAGTAATGGTGTTGAAACCGTACTAGACTGCTGTTTATCAGCTGTGGCTGATGCAATTTGCTCACTTTCTAGAAATTTCATTATGGCATTATGGTCTTAGCTGTGCATTTTACTTGAGTCTGCCTAAGAAATTGCAGAATGTTGCCTTAAAAGTTTAGTTGTAACCAAAAGTACATGAATAACGTAAGTTTAATCAAATAGTCCAGTTGGAACCATAGAGGGGTGATTCCTAACCAGGGGTGGTCTTGTAAACATTTCAGTTTTACTTTGATAAACCTAAGCAACAAGGTCTGTTAATAGATTAATATAATTAATAGTGATTCATTATATTTTTTTCAGTTACTTTTACAAATACCCACCATAGTGCTTTCTATTTATTTTATTTTTTTCTATTAACATTTTATGTACATGTAACTCAATACAGATTTGCAATAAATATTAAATATTTAATCAAAATGTTTGCTGCTAAAAGGATTACATTTCTGATTGGTGTCTTCTAAGAGGTATATCACCAAAGACATTTTTGCATTTGCATTTGCATTTTTCCACTGGTTAGTCGCAAGTTGATGTTCCTAGTTGTGGCTTTGCTAATAAGGGTTACAAACATTTCACTGTCTTCACACCTATTTGGCAGTCGCTGTATTAAGTTGCTCTGCATTTCTAGAAAGTTGTTTGTCTCTGATAGTGTAAACTAGTGTTTACTGATGCGGCTGTAGGAGTACAGAAGACCAAAAATGCTGAGGAAAAACTGCTCTGTGAACTTGCAGCTGGAAAATGACTTGATATGCTTAAGTAAGCTAACCCACATGGGTCAAATGTATTACTGTTCTATTCAGTTTGAGACTGTTTGTTCAGCTCAGTGTGAAGTTTTTTGATGTCATCTCCATCCTCTGTGACTTCTGCTAAATGCTCCTTTCAAAGCAGCACCACTTTCTTTCGATGTATGTGGTATATTTTTAACTGTTCAATCAGCATTATTGTTTTCACAGTAGTCTCAAAGAGCCTGCAGCTTATGTGAAGAAACTAGGGGTGGGCGATATGAGCTAAAATTCATATCACGATTAGGGATGTAACGATTAACCACAAGCCGGTTGAAAATCGATTCAAATATGTGACGATTCAAATCGGTTAAGATGCTAAACAAATCGTGATTCATTTAGGTGTAGGAGTTTATATGAATGCATGTCTGAGGGGAACTTCCTGTCTTTAGAAAAGTTTAGATGGTATTTTTTCTTTTCATCTTGCCTCTGTATAATGCATATTAAAGTAAGTGCAGCGCTGCTTTGTTTTTGCAGCGGAAACCAAGGAAACGCTTTACGCGCCACCTGCTGGCAGAGTGTGAATCTGCATCTCATTCAGCTCGTCTGCAGTTTCATGCAGATATTTTTATGTATAGTTTCACAAAACTGAAGTCAAACCATTCTGTTTTTGCTTCAAATTTCAAAATTATACAATCTAATTTAGATTAAAAACTGCTCATGTTGCATGTATGCAGCATCTTTGTTTGGATCATTATTAAAATGCATTTTGTAATTTAGCAGACGCTTTTATCCAAAGCGATTTACAAATGAGGACAATAGAAGCAATCAAAACCAACAAAAGAGCAGTAATATGCAAGTGCTATATTATAATATTATTATAGTGTTATATTTCAATTTCACAAAGAAATGTGCAGCATTTTGCCCAAGCAATAATAAAGACACATTTAATTTATAATTTGTCTTAAATCTCATTTTGTAAAAAAAAATTATAATAATCGTGAATCGAGAAATCAAAATCGCGAATCGAATCGTGAGTTGAGTGAATCGTTACATCCCTAATCACGATATTTTACACTGTCCAGGCGGTATCGATATTATATTGCGATATGCGGAAAAAAATTACAAGCAAAATATATTAACCTTATATAACTAGAAAAGGTGAGGGATTGGACATAGACCTGAAAAGTATTTTTTGTAATGTTTTTCTCAAAAAGTGCAAACATGCAACACGAGGTAGGCCTGTATGAATTAAATTAAATATTGTGTATTTGAGTAGGCCAGTGAAATACAGTAAACACTAAATATTTTCACTTTAACCTGTTAACCCGCACCTGGACGCCGGCGCACTGAACGGTCTTTGTTTGCACTTGTCAATGTTTACGAATAGATTAAATAAAAAGGGAC